ATAAAATGATAAACTCCACACTTGACTTGATTTTAATTTAGAAGAAGAAAAAGAAGCTTTCCAGTGCGCAGCCACTTCTGACCTCATTATGGATGAACAGTATAGATGACAGGATCAGATCCAGAGATTAATGGAGTTCACTTGATAAAGCAATGACGTCTTGGAGCTCTCCAGAGCGGTTTGGAAACACCACCAGTACTGTAATAAAAACGATATGGGAACAAGAACGCATGGACATGGTACTAGATTAGAATATCAAATCATCACATGGATTCGGACCATATGTTAGAATTTAATAGATGCTATATAGCTGAATTAGCAAGGAAGCAATGGGGGGGGGGGGATTTACTAAACCTCTTAGCAGCTGTGGACAACTAGCCACATGATCTCCACATCCAAAGTTGACATTTTTTTTTCCTGCAGGTGTCACTCTTAAGCCACATACACTTCAGCATGAGATTTGTAATCAGTAAACAGTACAAGACCAATTTAACCACTTCAATACCGGACACTTTCACCCCTTTCCTGCCCAGGCCAATTTTCAGCTTTCAGCGTTGTCGCTTTTGAATGACAATTGCGCGGTCATGCAATGCTGTACCCATATGAAATTGTATCTTTTTTTTTGTTTAGACAGATAGATATTTTTTTTGGTGGTATTTAATCACCACTGGGTTTTTATTAATCTTTTTCTCAAACAAATGAAAAAATTTAACTTTATTTTTTTTTTTTTAGTTTATGTTATAAAATGTTGAAATAAGTAATTTTTCTTCTTCACTGATGTGCGCTGATGAGGCTGCGCTGATGGGCACTGATAGGCTGCACTCAGGCTACGTTCACACTGCACTCAGCGTTACGTGTGCAGGTGGCAGAGGGCGTTTGGGAAGCGTTTTTATCGCTTCCCAAATGCCTCTGCCAATTCTGCACATTACAGCACATGGTGCTGTTCTAACGGGAGCGTTTCCGCGTCGCGTTGCATCATGGCAAAACGGACGCCTCTGGTCGAGTCAGGAGGCGTTGGAGCCTCCTAATCTAGTCTGTGGTGCCGCTCCGCAAACGTGCGGTGCGGTTGCGACGCGTTGCGGGGTGTTTGCGGAGCGATAACACCATTCAAACTGCATTATAGGTGTTTGTGGGGCGTTTTTAACACTCGGCAAATGCCTAGCAACCGCAGCTGAACTAAACCGGCGTTTGCGAGCGTTAAAAAAAACGCTCCAAAAAAACCAATGCTTGCCAAACGCTATAGGGGTGTTTGGCAAGCGTTGGTAAAACAGCCAAGTGTGAATGAGCCCTAATGGGCACTGATGAGGCTGCACTGATGGGCACTGATAGGCTGCACTAATGGGCATTGAGGCTGTGCACTGATGAGGCTGCACTGATAGGCTGCACTAATGGGCACTGATGAGCACTGCACTGACAGGCACTGATGAGGCTGCACTGATGGGCATTGATGTGCACTGATGTGCACTGATGGGCACTGATGGACACTGATGTGGATGCACTGATGGACACTGTTAGGCTGCACTAATGGGCATTGATGGGCACTGATGGGACTGCACTGATGAGGCAGCACTGATAAGCTGCACTGCAGGATTTTTCTTCCCTGCAGGAACAAATTGGATCATGCTTTGCTGTTTTTTTTTTTTTTTTTTTTTAATGGTTGAACTGGATGGACTTTTGTCTTTTCCCCAGCCAGACTAACTATGTAACTATATACTATGTAACTTTACAAAATGAAGGTAGAGATTACAGTTACAATACAATCTGGTACAAGAGGAAACAGAGGCCGTGCTTGTTAGAGCTTACAAGGTAATGGCTATGTGGGGGGGATGAGCTGATGGAGGAAATAAATGGCAGTTTACTAGGTAGAAGCAGGATAGGCTTCTTTAAAGAGATAGGTTTTCAGGGATCGTCTAAAGGTGGATAGATTAGGACATAGTTGGACAGATTGGGGTAGGGAAGTTCCATAGGATGGGAGAAGCTCAGGAGAAGTCCTGGAGGTGAGCATGGGAGGAGGTGACACAAGAACTAGAGAGCAGAGGGTCTTGGGAGAATCGAAGAGAGCGGTTGGGTTGATATTTTGAGACCAGGTTGGTGATGTAGCTGGGGGCAGAGTTGTGCATGGCTTTGTAAGTGTGGGGAGGGACATGCATGTGCAGATTTACAGGGAAACCCACATGTGACCAGATATGCTGCAGAGCCCTGCAGCACATATGTGCACACGCACAATATAGACATCATATTCACATAGGCAAGAAATGAGGAACTGCTGCTTTGCAGAACAATAAATGTTTTATTTTTTTTTAACTATAAATAAATGTTTTCTTTCTTTTTTAACTATAAAAAAAATTCAAAAAGAGGAAGGGAAGTTGTCAGGGCTAAGGAAAGGGGGAGGACCAGGGGAGCACGCAGAGGGACCCAGGCAGGAGAAGAAAGGGGAATCTGGACAGGAGGGGCAGTGGGGCAGCATTTACTGGAACCAATTCTCCGTATTTTCACCCTGCAGCAGCTGAAATGTGACAGGAGGGAGAAGAGGAGAGTCCAGCAATTCAGCTGATGCAAGGGGGAGATACATGGTTCAGTAAATGCCATCATCTCTGCCCCTTCTGTTCAAGTTCCCATTCCTTCTGCTGCCGGGGCTCCTGTGTACTCCCCTGGTCTCCCCCTCGCAGCTTCCTTGTGCATATCTGCATATGTGGAAGGAGCAGTCCAGGTCACCTGTCCGCAATCAACGGGGAGTTTGTGCTCAATGGGTTGACAACCCCAATTTAGAAAATACAAAATTTTCCCTCAATGGCATCTGTACCAAACGGGAAACCTCCTGTGTTCACAATGCAGTAGGGCAGCTACTTGGCACAGGACCCAGAAGCTAATGGAGATCACTGTAGTAACAGTGCCTACTATGAGTTTCAGCTTCCATGGCACATACAGTTGTGTTCAAAAATAATAGCAGTGTGTTGAAAAAAGTGAATAAAGCTCAAAATCCTTCTAATAGCTTTTATTTCCATCCACACAAAATGCATTGGAAACACGACACATTCTATTCCAAATCAACACATGAAGAAAAATACATCAAATTTGTGTTGTTCCTCTAAAAAAATTGAAGAAAAGTGAATATTAGACGGTTCAAAAAAATTAGCAGTGTTTGTATTCTTCTTTACAAACTCAAACATTCACTATATAAACTGAAAATGTTTGAAGATTTTGCTTTCCTTTGAATGACTTAATGAATATTTGGTTGTAGTCGCACTGTTTCTGAGAACTGCTGTACATCTGTGTTGCATGGAGTCACCCAACTTCTGGCCCCTGTGATCAGGTATTCCAGCCCAGGATGATTGGACCACATTCCACAGTTCTTCTCTATTTCTTGGTTTTGCCTCAGAAACTGCATTTTTGATGTCACCACACAAGTTTTCTATTGGATTAAGATCCGGGGATTGGGCTGGCCACTCCATAACGTCAATCTTGTTGGTCTGGAACCAAGATGTTGCACTTTTACTGGTGTGTTTGGGGTCGTTTTCTTGTTGGAACACCCATTTCAAGGGCATTTCCTCTTCAGCATAAGGCAGCATGACCTCTTCAAGTATTCTGATGTATTCAAACTGATCCATGATATCGTATGTACTCTGCAGCGCCTCAGGATATGCACAGCAAAAGGGAAGCCAAGGGTACCAGGACAGCGACAACCAAAGGAAATGTTCCACAGCCCCTCCTCAGATGGGGAAATCAAGTGGATAGAGAGAAAACAGGTGGCGCACACACCTCATTATCCAAGGTTTATTGTAGAATGAGATAATAAAAACATACTCACAGACTGTATCAAAAAGCATAGAAAAATGATGCTGTTCTCACTGTCAGTGCGGTCAAATGCTGACGCGTTTCGGGGAAAAATCCCTTTCCTCAGAGCTGATGACCAACATGTATGATGTATGACAGAAAGAGCCTCACTGTTTGATGCCACCTGGTGTGTGCGCCACCTGTTTTCTCTCTAAACTATCCATGATCCTTATGCGATAAATAGGCCAACACAGTATGAGAAACATCCCCATATCATGATGCTTGCACCACCATGCTTCACGGTCTTCACAGTGTACTGTGGCTTGAATTCAGTGTTTGGGGGTCGTCTGACAAACTGTCTCCGGCCACTAGACCCAAAAAGAACAATCTTACTTTCATCAGTCCACAAAATGTTGCGCCATTTCTCTTTAGGCCAGTCAATGTGCTCTTTGGCAAATTGTAACCTCTTCAGCACATGTCTTTTTTTCAACAGTGGGACTTTGCGGGGGCTTCTTGCAGATAGCTTGGCTTCACATAGGCGTCTTCTAATTGTAACAGTCCTCACAGGGAACTTTACACCTTCTTTCATCTTCCTGGAGCTGATTGTTGGCTGAGTCCTCGCCATTTTGGCTATTCTTCTATCCATTCCAATAGTAGTTTTTCGCTTTCTTCCACGTCTTTCAGGTTTTGGTTGCCATTTTAAAGCATTCGCGATCATTTTAGCTGAGCAGCCTATCATTTTCTGCACTTCTTTATATGTTTTCCCCTCTCCAATCAACTTTTTAATCAAGGTACGCTGTTCTTCTGAACAATGTCTGGAACGACCCCATTTCCTCAGAATTTCAGAGAGAAATGCATTGTAACCACCATGTACAACATTTGCTGCCTTCCTTCCTTAAATAAGGGCAATAATTTCCACCTGTTTTTCAAAGAATGAATGACCTCACTAATAGAACTCCACACTGCTATTATTTTGAACACGCCCCTTTCAATGAGTGATTCAATGACACAGAATCAGCAGCATGCATGTCATGACTGTTGGGTCTGTTGGATTTCTATTACTCTACTACACCTGCTAGTAAATTATTTGCCATGTAGAAATATCATTTCTACCAAAAACAGTGATTGATCCGGTTAGTGATGTCTGACTGCTATTATTTTGAACACAACTGTACACACTTATATTGGCCCAAGCTGGACCAATACAAAATTGCAATACCTAAATGTTAGCTTTAACCTCCCTGGCGGTATTCCCGAGTGTAGCTCGGGGTAAAGTTTCACTACCAAAAGCGGTAACCCCGAGCTACACTTACCATGCGGCGTTGCTCTGGGATCCCTGCAGTGCTTACCTTGTCCTTCGCTCCCGCAACGCGTCCCCTGCCGCGTCCGGCCATCTCCTCCGGCCGATGCCGGTATGCGGCTTCTGTGTTCCGGTCCCTGCGAGAGTCGGGACGTACGGGGGCCGGAACGGCAGCAAATTTAAAAATTTTTTGAAACTGTAATTTTCTTAGAAATGAATTTGACATAGTAAAACATTACTGTATCAAACCATTTCACATACATTTTGTGCCCTGCCTGCATTTGACTGTTCTTTCTGCCTGGAAACTGAGAAATGTCCATGGCGTCCAAAAAGCGTCCCTTTTGGTCAAAAACAGTTTTTGACCGCTAGAGAACAGCGATAGTAAATCAGAATCACTTGCAGAATTGAGTGATAATGATTCGTGGGGAAAATTCATCATCAGACACTGAAAACGATGTTGCGACTTTGCTCAGCGAGGTGCGAACTTGGCGTTATATTTCAAATTTCAGTGTTTTTGTTTTGATTATATTATTGAATTAAAATTAATATTAAAAAATTAATATTTTTATGATTATTTATTAAATTATAATTTATGATTTTGTGTTTCAAGTTTTATCCTACCCGGGATGTTTACTAGACTCTTGTTCGGACAGATTTCAGTGAGTTATTTCTAAAAATTACAGGCCTACAATAAAAAAAAATACATATTTCCATGCAAAAAAAAGTACCGCTTTCAGCACAGAAATATGGACATAATCAGACCGCTAGGGAGGTTAAACAGAACATTAATTTATAGACATCTCTACAGCAGTTCGGTCAAGCTAAAAAAAACAAAAAAAAACTCCCCTTTCTTCTTACCTTCCAGATTTCTGTCCTTCAACTCCTACATCACTGTAATTTGACAATTACAGTGGACGTGGATTTATGGAATGAATTCCACAATTATGGAAACAGTGCCATTTCATCAATATATTTTCAATTGGGATGGGGGTTTATATTTTTAATTAAATGTTTATTCGCTCCGGGTGCTTCTAATAAACCTAGGCTTATAGCAGTGTCACTTAAACATCATAGGTTACATTATACACCAGGGAACAATTTGGTATTGTCATCTGCAGCCACGGAAAAGTACACACTCTGCCTTTTAAATGTCTTCCTTAATGTCTTCCTTCACTTTAGATCGGGGATAGGCAACCTTTTGACCACAGTGTGCCGAAAAATGTTTTCAAAAAAATTGAGAGTGCCAGATACATAAAAAAGCTGTCAACTTCTCAATCACAAAAAGCAATCTTATAAAGTAAATGCTGTAAACCACCTGAATAACAGTAAGAAACCCACATCTTCACACCTCAGATCACCGCAATTACTGAACCTTCACACCTCAGATCACCTCAATATCTGCACCTTCTCACCTCAGATCACCTCAATATCTGCACCTTCTCACCTCAGATCGCCTCAATATCTGCAGCTTCATACCTCAGATCGCCTCAATATCTGCAGCTTCATACCTCAGATCACCTCAGTATCTGCAGCTTCATACCTCAGATCACCTCAGTATCTGCACCTTCTCACCTCAGATCACCTCAATATCTGCACCTTCATACTTTTATACTTCAGATCACCTCAATATCTGCACCTTCATACCTCAGATCACCTCAATATCTGCACCTTCTCACCTCAGATCACTTCAATATCTGCACCTTTCTCACGTGAGATCACCTCAATATCTGCACCTTCTCACCTGAGATCACCTCAATATCTGCACCTTCTCACCTGAGATCACCTCAATATCTGCACCTTCATACCTCAGATTACCTCAATATCTGCACCTTCTCACCTCAGATCACCTCAATATCTGCACCTTCTCACCCCAGATCACCTCAATATCTGCACCTTCTCACCTCAGATCACCTCAATATCTGACCTTCTCACCTCAGATCACCTCAATATCTGCACCTTCTCACCTCAGATCACTGCAATATCTGCACCTTCTCACCTCAGATCACCTCAATATTCACACCTTCATACCTCAGATCAGGTCCAATTCCTGAATCTTCACATCTCAGGTCACCCCAATATCTGCATTTTCACATCTCAGATCACCCCAGTTCCTGTACCATCACACCTCAGATCAGGTCCAATTCCTGCACCTTCACATCTTAGATCACCTCAATATCTGTACTTTTACATCTCAGATCACCCCAATTCCTGCACCATCAAACCTCAGATCAACCCAATTCCTGAATCTTCACACCACAGATCAAGTCCAGTTCCTGCACCTTCACACCTCAGATCAGGCCAATTCCTGCACCTTCACACCTCAGATCACCTCAATATCTGCATCTTCAAACCACAGATTTGGTCCAATTCCTGCACCTTCACTCCTCAGATCACCCCAATATCTGTACTTTTACATCTCAGACCACCCCAATTCCTGCACCATCACACCTCAGATCACCCAAATTCCTGTAATTTCACACCTCAAATAAGGTCCAATTCCTGCACCATCACACCTCAGATCAGGTCCAATTTCTGCACCTTCACACCTCCAATTAAGTCCAATTTCTGCACCTTCACACCTCCAGTCAAGTCCAATTCCTGCACCTTCACACCTCAGATCACCCTAATTACTGCACCTTCACATCTCAGATCCTCCCAATTCTTGCACCTTCAGACCTCAGATCAGGCCCAATTCCTGTATCTTCACACCTCAGATTACCCCAATTCCCGCACAATAACACCTCAGATCATCCCATTTCGATTCACAATCTCTTTTTTTTCTCATTGGCAATGGTCATCAAATAAAGAGGGCAAATCTTTATTGTGTCTTTATTGTGTCCAATAAAAATCCTTCCCCTCCTTATGAAATTAAAAAAACAAAAAATAAGAAATGTTTTGCCTAGAGATACATTTTAAGTATTTCATGGGAACCAAAAGCAGTTGATTGATCTGCTTTACTGAAAGCAACCCAAGGTGATGGCCAAATCTCACAAATATGGATCATCCAAAAGAAAAGGGGCCACAACCCACAGTGATGGCCACAACCCACGGTGATGCCAAAATCTCACAAATATGGACCATCCAAAACGGAAAGGGGCCACAACCCATGGTGGTGCCACAAGCCATGGTGATGGCCAAATCTCACAAATATGGACCATCCAAACGGAAAGAGGCCACAAGCCATGCTGGGGCCACAAGCCACGATGATGGCCAAATCTCACAAATATGGACCATCCAAATGGAAAGGGGCCACAACCCACGGTGGGGCCACAAGCCACGGTGATGGCCAAATCTCATAAATATGGACCATCCAAACAAGCTATGGCGGGGCCACAAGTCACGGTGATGGCCAAATCTCACAAATATGGACCATCCAAACAAAAGGGGCAACAAGCCACGGCAGGGCCACATGCCACGGTGATGGCCAAATTTCACAAATATGGACCATCGAAATGGAAAGGAGCCACAACCCACAGTAGGGTCACAACCCATGGCGATGGCCACAACCCACAGTGATGGCCAAATCTCAGAAATATGGACCATGCAAATGGAAAGGGGCCACAACCCACAGTGATGGCCACAACCCAAGGTGCTGGACAAATCTCACAAATATGGACCATCCAAACGGAAAGGCGCCACCCACATTGTTCAACATTTAGTTTGCTAAAGCACTGTGTGCCAAAAACAAATGTCATATTTTTCCTTTAGAAAATACAGTTTTCACTTTTTTCATGCTTTGTTACATTTCAGTACTGTAGGTCTCCTTTAGTCTCCTTGCAGCTGCTTCCTGTCTACATGCCTGTGATGGCTATATATCATTGCTCAGGGCGGGCTTCCTGATAGTAACAACAGCGAAAAAAGCCTGTACAATGAACTTTGGAGCTGACGCTGAAAGCCAGTGTTGTAGGGTGACCACGCCAAACAGCAATAAGTAGACAAGGGCAGAGACAGTCACCTTATAACAGGAGGAGTGAACAGACCCTTCATGAATGAGTCCCTTTATTGTAAAGAAAGCTACAGATTAAAAAAAAAAAAACGACAGTTGAGAGTCCTTAAAGTGGTATTAATCACTTCTTATCCAAGGTTTTACCCTTCATGCCACATTTTTTCCTATTCAGCACTGAGCTCTTTAACTGGCAATTGGTGTGGTGTTGTACCAAAATCAAATTTATATAATTTTTTTTCCACATACAGATTAAACCACAATTCTTTTTTTTTTTTTATATCACCAACTTTTTGTGTGTGTGTAGTGTGTGTGTGTGTGTGTGTGTATATATATATATATATATATATATATATATATATATATATGGGCCTGTCCCTATACTGGATATGGGCCTATTGCTATGCTGGCTACGGGGCTGCATGTCTCTTTGCTGGATACGGGGCTGTCTATTGCGGGATATGGGCTGTCTCTTTGCTGGATACGGGGCTGTCTCTTTGCTGGATATGGGGCTGTCTCTTTGCTGGATATGAGGCTATCTATTGCTGGATATGGTCTCTTTGCTGGATATGGGCTGCTTTACTGGATATGGGGCTGTCTCTTTGCTGGATATGGAGCTGTCTCTTTGCTGGATATGGGCTGTCTCTTTGCTGGATATGAGGATCTCTCTTTGCTGGATATGGGGCTGTCTATTGCTGGATATGGGGACTGTCTCTTGCTGGATATGGGGACTTGTCTCTTTGCTGGATATGGGACTCTCTTGCTGGATATGGGGACGTCTCTTGCTGGATATGGGGACGTCTCTTGCTGGATATGGGGACGTCTCTTGCTGGATATGGGGACGTCTCTTGCTGGATATGAGGGTGTCTCTTGCTGGATATGAGGGTGTCTCTTGCTGGATATGAGGGTGTCTCTTGCTGGATATGAGGATGCCTCTTGCTGTATATGGGGCAGTCTCTTTGCTGGATATGGGGCTGTCTCTTTGATGGACATGAGGCTGTCTATTGCTGGATATGGGGCTGTCTCTTTGCTGGATATGGGGGATGTATCTTTCTGGATTTGGGCCTCTCTTGCCTGGATAAGGGGATGTCTCTTTGCTGGATATGGGGGAAGTCTCTTGCTGGATATGGGGATGTCTCTTGCTGGATATGAGGTTGTAAATACAGAAAATTAAAAAAATATTTCTCTTAGTTTCTGTTTCAAAATTTTGCAAACAAATCATTTTTTTTTCATAAATGTAGGCCAAAATGTATTCTACTATATTTATTTGGTAAAAAATAATCCAAATAATCCAAATCGGTGTATATCATTTAATCTGTG